ACTACTACAAAAAGCAACCCGATGACAAACACAACACCTCTTTCTGCAGTTCAAGTGGTTCTGCTGCACAATTATGAATACTGTTTTAAAAGGCAGGTTTGTTGCATTGTTATATATTCAATTTCACAGAGATGAGATAATATAACAGGTTGATTAGCAAGAATTACTGTGGCACTAGTAAGACCATGATTAATCAAATGCTGAATAATAATAGCATTGTCAATTACATCTCACAATGATAATGAGAAAATATTTCATTTTAAATATGTTTTAATCAGTTGAAATATTTATTAACTATAATGTTATTACTATTATTAATTAAACATAATTACACATAGTACAAGTCATTTAATGCAAGAGGTCAAACAACAATGTGACTAAATTCTGTATTCAGCAAAACTGAATTTCCCAAACAGCAGCCAAATCATTAAGGCCAGGTGCTTTGCTGTGTCAATCCTGTTTCATACTGTAGGAAGGACATGACTGAAGACTCAAATTAAATATGAATGCTCTTGGTGTCCAGAGATGAAATGGTCATGGTCACTAGTGAATCTGCAGGATTAGAAAATCTGATTGGTCTCAGATATTTCAGTGCTCGTATCGTGAGCACAGCAGCAGCTGCTGTTGAGGGACTGGGGGCTGCTGCCAGACGGAATAGCACAGGTGGGGAGGGGGCCCTATGTATTACTGCTGTTCCAGAGGACGCACACGGAGGACAGATACTTAGCAGAATTAGATTTACTAAAGGGAGACTTTATTGTTTTTAAAGGTCATTTGCTTATTGGTGCTCCTTTTGCATTCTCATCAAGAATGCTGTAAAGTACACAGTGTCTTTATAGACATTTATATGGTATGGTTCAGACTTTTCAGCAGTAAGAGAGTAAGAATAGACAGGATTTGTGCTCTGAACATTCTCCCCACTTAGTGAAATCACTCATTTTAGAGACAGTTCACGCAGGGAACATTCAAGGATTACGTCTTCTCTCTCTCTGTTTTATTCATAAGACAGAAATCTTGTGTTGTTGCATTATCTGTTTCTTCAGGATTCTAATTGAACTACTTTTAGTGTTGAAAGGTTTTAATTTTGGGGGTTTTTTTAATGCAAGAACATAACTTGTATGAATCACTCGTGACTAATTTGATCTATTCTGGTAAACATGGTTTAGAGACATTTTTCCTGCTGAAGATATGCAGAATTAGCTGACTGCAGAATTAGCAGAAGTTATGGTCAGGGGGTACGAGTTGGTAATAACTTTGCATTAAAGCATTATTTTTATTGCATATTTAATGTTAATGCTGTCAAAAAGTAATGAAATATTACCAAGGTAACACGTCAACACTTTATATAGTGAGAATATAAGGTGGATTAATTGGAAAAATGTACATTTTAAAGGATAGTTTTTCAAATCTATATGACTTTCTTTTTTTCTACATATCATAGAGGAAAATTTTGAAAACTCAACAACTGCATATTAAAAGGGATGGTCATTCCAAACCTCAGTGGCGTTTTTCTGTGGAACACAAAAGAAGATATGTTGAAAAATGTCTTTTTTCCATATAATGAAAGCCGGTTGGACCGCTCTGACTTCTATTGTATGGAAAAAAATATTTTTTAAAATATCTTTTGTGTTCCACAAAAAAAGTCGAACAGCTTTTGTACAGAATGAAGGAGAGTCAGAATGTTAATTTTTTGGGTGGCCGATCCAATAAAACTTTTGCAAGCAATGGTAGGCTATTAAAATAAAAATCATGTTGCTTTTGTTATGTCTCTTGCCTCCAAAATGGAATAGGCCATTTACTTTTGTCAAACACATGTGAGGTCTGTAAGAACAACGTGGTCCTGGACCCCTGCCACCCATGTGCTACAGAAAGGAGTCGAGAATGCATGTCAGTCGTCTTATGATGGTTGTTCGCTTCACATTCACACATACACGCAATAATAGGATTGTGCCATTACTGTACAGCCGCCAAACATCATTTAGAAAAAGGTGAGCCATATACAGCATGAATGGATGAAGTTGTTTGGCACATGGAGGGTGGGCGGCCACGTGAGACCCCGCTGAGGAAATATGGCCTGGCATTCTCACTTTAGCTTCTTAGCTCTTCTGCTACTATGAGCCGAGCTCTTCCGCTGTCCCTGGGGGTGTTATGGTTCAGTAATGGGAGTGTGTTTGTGTGTGTGTCTACGACTGCACGACTAAAGTGGGCCAGAGATGGCAGCCAAACACAAGCTCAAAGCCCCGCAGTGCTGAATTCAAGAAGGCAGAATAACAGCCCAGCCTGAGGCCTGGCAATCTGTTTTCCTGCCTTTTTCCTCTCTTCCTTCTTCCTTATTCAGTTTCTCATCTGTTCATTAGCCATCCATTGAGAGAGAGCTATGGGTGTTAGCGCTCCACTTCGGGCACCGCGAGCTGGTACAGAGCAGATCTGGCCATAGATGTAACTCTTTGTGGCAGCGTCGGGATGAATGAATAATGCAGCCATGGTAGCGTCACTCAGGGAACAATTGTGCTGGTTAATATTCATGGCATGGAGATTCGGATGGCATTGTGAATCGCTTTACAGTCTTTCAAGAGCTTAGAGTCCCTGAGCAAACTAACCTTGCCTGTGTGACACATGTGAAAACAGGTTTTTATGTGGGTTTTCTTAAGCGAAACGGGACATAACACTTGTGGTTTGAATCAGAGTGTTTGTCTACTACATGAACAAATCGTACACATATGGGCAAGAGGTTGATTGTGTGAACTTGTGTGAAAGTGCACATGAGTGAGTGTGAGGGAGGGCAAGAGCGCCTGCAGCAAGCAGCTCCAGCCTAGTGTGCTTTCAAATGCCTACGTCAGAACTGTTTTCAACAGAAACACTGAGTTTCACCCACAGGACTTTTTATTTTATTTTTGAAATCTGCTTTTGAATTCCTTGCAGCCGCATGGATTTGTCTGAGGAGTAGAATGATATTGTTGGCTTGTGTTCTTTGTCTCTGTCCCTTTGCTACTCGAGTGCTCTGTGATCACACAAATTATGGTTGGTCATTCAGGGGTTTTATAGATTACTGTGTTGAATATATAGTATGAATGTTTTGTTTGTGGGTCTTTAATATTGCTGAAGGTGAAATACAAGCCATCAGTGCTATGTACTGACACCACAAAGCAGAGCGCAGGCTAAAATGTTTGAGTGGTTTGAGAGCTCCCATAAGAGAGACAGCATAACAGCAAAGTTCATCTGGTAGTATAGTTTATTACATATAATGTAATATAATTATATAATAATATTTTTATTATGTTTTTCTGTTTTCTCTTGCAAATTAGCTTAGCTGTGTGATTTTGCTTATATTATATTATATTATATTATATTATATTAACATTTTGTATAGACACTATTTTAAGGCTACTGTTTTAGGTAATGTAAACTGACTACATTAACTGACATAGAAATGATTGGCAATAGTAATTCAATGCTGGTTAGTGTTAATGTAATACAGAATGTGAAAATAATCTATACTCACTATAGATTTTTTTAAAAATCTTGAAAAATAATTATGATGCAACAAGATCCAAGACTGATTCGAAAGTAGGTACCAGTGGATGGAAGAAGTCCTCAATAATCACAGCAATCTCACATTCAGGTCTGTATTCAATCTGGTGTAGAACAGAGCGCCTGCTTTTTATGATCCAATCAATTCCCAGTTCAATAAAATCAAGTTGTGCCCCATTTCTCCCATTGAAAATCCTGTTTCACTAGGGAATACATCTTATTAGGAAAGTGAAATGGGTTGTGAATGCCGTTTCATGTTAACTGTGATGTCTATAATGATAAAGGACAGGACTTCATTACTTCCTGTGAGAATTTTGCTCAGAATTTTGCAACTAAGATATGTGACAAATAAGATTAATTATGACATTACTTCCCTTGTATGTTCTCAACTCACAGTTGCTAATTGTTTGTCTCTTTGAACAGGCTCATTTGAGCTAAACTTTCCAGTAAAAGTTGCCCAATCTGTTACTTAATGTGGAACTCCATCCCAGACGCATCCTCATAGAGATGCACTTTCCGTTGATATTGCTACTAATGACTTCATATTCCTGCCCTGGAGCGGCACCGTTCCTGCTCTTATGTAATGATTTACATATTTAGCTACGGTTGTTATTGCTTCAGCAGCTGGCAGAGTTGGGTTTTACACAATAAAAGAGAGCGTTGATGGCACTGATTTTTGTTAAAGCTTTCTCCATCTAATTAGCATCACGCTTTTGCTAAGCACCGGCCGTGCATTGTTCCCGGGGGTTGTTTTTCGGCATGCGGGGTTGTTTTGACACTGGGTCAGGAGGGGGGAGGGGCCCTAAACTAAGCCATTAATGACTGAACACTAATACCCAGGTGTAGATTAGAAGTGGCAGTGCTGCATGGCCGTAGCAGTGAACTGGCATTAGTGTTGACACTTCTTTGTTATGATACGTGTGTGGTTAGCATTGCAGCGCAGATAAGACATGCATATTAAATTGCCACTTATTTTGTCTAGATGCTACTGAATATAAAATGAACCGCAGACGACCTGGACTAAATATCCTAAAAGTGGTGAGTTGCAATGTTAAAATTCCTACATTTTAAGTCTAAGCTACGTACATTATTGTCAAGAGATCCAACAGAAACAAAACGGATCCATACTGAGCATTGACTCATGAATATATACACAAACACGACTGTTTCCCAAGGTTCCCAGCTGGTGACTGAGTCTTTCTAGCTGACACCACGGTGCTCTTTGAGCTCTGTACGGATTACGAGTGAATCTTTTCTTCAGGCTTGTCTCAGGTCTCTGCCACAAGCTCATCTTCGTGTACATCTTAACATATATGCATGGCTCTCCAGCGCTCATCCACGCAGCCGTCTCTCTCAATCGTGAGATAGAAACAGCAGTCTCAGCCTCTGTTGTTGCTCGTCACCACAGAATTTGTGTGCCTTTTTGTGTTGTGCTCCATCACAGATTAAACAAAGAAGGTTTGTCTTACCTTACGTAGATGCAGTTATTTCCACCACATGCTGCTGCATGCTTCATTCATTCAAAAAATCCCTCCATCTCTCACTCTTTGTCTTTGTGTGTCTCTCTTGATTTCTTGTTCGTTCTCCTCTTCTCTTATTTGTTTTTGGTCAGAGCATCCCTGTATTTGTTTGTACTGTGGCTTCTGGATCAAACTGGAAACATGGGCTTAATTGGGGACGAATCTGCCGGTAGATCTCCCCCGTTTTCTTCTCTTCCCTGTCAGACGTGCTCTCACTCAAGCTCACAATCCGAGAGAGATGGATGTGGGCAAGACCCTGCAGTAATGGTGTGATAATTTGCTTGGTGGTTGTTCTCCGTCTCTCCCCCTGATTTCTCTGTCTTCATTCAGCGTGGCGGTCTTGGCTCAGTCGGGCTGTCAGAACGCATGGAGACACATCTGTGAATGTGTTTATGTGGCTCTAACGTAGCCTCTTCGGCGAGGCAGAGACCCCCTCCTTGCTCAAGATGTGCTCACTAATGGCATGTACCATTATGGCTCAGAGTAGGGTGGGCTTTGAGGGAAGGAGGGGGAGAGAGAGATTGTGAGGGGGCAAGAGGGGAAAAATAGGCTTGGTGGACAAATTGAGTGGTTCTGTGCATGTATGTTTGTTGTTTGACATGTCTTCCTGTCATTGTACATAAAACAAAGCAGGGGACATTTTGCTGTGCTGTAATTTATACATGAAAATTTTGTATGTCACTGCTGTTCTTTGAATTAATAGTGAAGGGCACACATATTTGAAACATGCACCACTATTTAAAGAGATAATTCACCCAAAAATGTCATTATTTATACGCCCTCATGTAATTCCAAACCTGTTTGACTTTCGTTTTCTGTGTGGAACACAAAAGAAGATACTGGTAAAAGTATAAGTATACAATAGCACAGTGCTTATAAATAATTCACAAACTATTTGTTTATTGTTACTTCATAGTTAGGTGGGGATTAAGTAGGGATAAATGTGTATCGATTTACTTTACGTATAAATATTTCTTTATTATTAATTAATTATATTTTAATGCTTTCATGGACCATTAACAACAGACTATGGTTTAAAATTTGACTGATCTCATTGTTTATATATTTAGATATTTGTGAGTAACATTTACAGGTACAGAAAATAATCTCATTGATTGTCTCATTGATCACAAATTCAATATAATCAGCTGATTAATTCCATGAATTAACTATAAACTAATACTTTGCAAATGATTTGTAAGTACTATACTGTGTACTTATTATAAATTGTAACCAAGATTTTTTTTTTCTCCATGCAAAGAAAGTCAGTGGGGTCCAGTGTTGTTTTGAATCATTGACTTTCATTATATGGACAAAAACATGGAAATTTCTTCAAAATATCTTATTTTGTGTTTTGCAGAAGAAAGAGAGTCAGAGTGGTTTTGAAACAACATGAGGGGGGAGTAAATGATAACAGAATTTGAATCACGTCCCTTTAAATCTCTATTATCTCATATATTTCTTCTTCTTCCAGGCAAAATTTCTGCATATTACCGGTAATATGAATAGGGATCCAAAAAAGGATACAGATATGTATAATATTTCAAAGGCATGTAGAGCATGCCGCTAGCATTAGCAAGGTCAAGGGTTTGATTGCCAGGGAATTCATGAACTGATCATGTGCAAATCTTGAATGCAATGTAAATCACTTTGGGAAAAAAAAGTGTCTGCTAAATGCATGAAGGTAAAAGTGTGTGGCTTGAATTTTCTAGATTATCAGACTTTTTCAAAGTGATCGTCTTCCTGGCAGATAAAAAAACAAGCTAAAACAATCCCACAAATTTGCCTTAAAAAGGAGCAAGGAGCATCATATCTTGAGATGAGGCGATTAGAGAGACATTTTGGTTCTTTTGACCCCAGCCATCAAGAATCCATTAACACAATAACAACTGCCTAGAAACACCTTAGCAACCATACAGAACACCCTAGCAACCATGTAACAGCACACTCCAGCCATATCTCAGTACCAGAATATCATAGAGACATGAGGCTAGGCTATATTTAATTTGAGACAAAATAGTACCCATCACATTTTCTTCAGAAAATGTACCTAGTTTCTATATTTGTTCACAGTTCTTACTGTATGTGGCTCTTTTAAATGTCATTTTATTATAGCCTCTCTTTCCATCCTCCCTTGAGAACCAATTCTCCGTAGGACTTTTCCATCTGGGTTAATTTACAAAAAGTCTAGCAACATTTTGGAACCGTGTGGGAATATTAAACATTCGGACATGCGGCCAGTGGCATCAGCACATGTACATTGAACAGATGGATCTCTGTGCAATCTGGAGCGCATGATCAAATATGCATCTGTGTCACCTCTAACTCTGGCCTGACAAAGTCCTTTCTATTGTGTTGTAAACAACTGATTTATATACTGATGAATAATGTATAGGCAAAATCATTCAAGCTTCAAGTAATTAATCATTTAGAGGGGAGATCAACCATTCTGTTTTACAGCTGATGGTATGAAAACACAAGGGAATTTATGTCAGAAATGCATTTGATTTTATGTCAATACATTCATGCCAGTTAATTGTAATAAGCGGATGATTTAACAAACCCACTTTTTGATCAGACATTAACATCAATTATATACTTCCTGACACATTTTATATGCAGAAAGGATCTGTCGGCTGTGCCATGGAATACAAAAGCCCGGGCCTTGCAGGGTCAGTGCCGTACAGGCAGAGTGTACAAACCCCTCTTAAAGTGATGGGTCAGCCCAGTGGTGAGAGAACATTCCGAGCTCTTGGAGTAATACGATGGCGAGACATTTTAAATAAACATTAGTTTGTGGTGTACCACCCGCTGACAGCATGAGCGCATAAGACAAGTCAGTGTTTGTGCAGCCTCACCCAGAAGATGAGAAATTATTCAAGTGTGACACAGAGGATGATTGTCAACAGGCACTGAGGTCAGTCAGCTGTAGGGAGTGAACCAGTGAGCACTTAGAATACAAACAAAATGTACAAATAAGATGAATTTGAATTGAATTGGCCATGTCCCACAGGATGATGAATATTAATTGGAATGACAGAAAAAGAGATTTAGTGCAGTCTGTGTTGGATAGTTAAAGAAACAATTATGTATAATATGTATTTTATGTGAATTTTTTTTTTCATTCATTTGTTTGAATACATCAGTATATTAATAAAGCATTAATAGTCAAATTAAATGAGTAAATTAACCTTCATTTTAAAATTTTAAATGAAATTTAAATAATGTATTTTAATAAACACTACAAATACAGTGCTTGTGTTAATTTCTTTGAATTTTCTTTACATTACATAATTTTAAACTCTTAAAATTTACATAATGGAAATTGGAATGTCTTTTTTTTAAAATACATTAATTAAATTAATCATTAAGGCATTTTTAAGGCACTTCCGATGATTTATAAATAAATATGAAGTAATAAACTCCATCCCCTATTGTCCTCTCACAAAATCCACCAACATATTTGTTTTTGCTTGTTAAAAGTGCTTGACCTGTGCATATTTTTCTCCTGATTTAGACAGCTTTTAACACGAGAAAGCAATATTATATTTACTTCTGAATGGTGCACAGCCTGGATATGCATGGTCAGCTCTCTTTCCCATTTTTTTTAAATATATTATTCTGTGATATTTACTAAGTTAAATGGATGACCTTTAATTTAATAATTTGCCTTTTATTATCAAATGCTATATTAAGCTTAGCCCTTTCTTGTTTTTACTGTGGCTTAAAATTTTCTCAGTACACTTTTTTATGCTATTTAGAAGTTTCTGATGGAGAACCGACAGAAGCACTAACAATCACAAAGGGAGGAGATGATGTTAGTGGAAAAGATGAAAAGAAGCATGCTCTTGAATCCAGCAGTTGCATGTTAGATTCAGCTGAAGGGCGTTATGCAGTATTTTGAGGGTGACACTGTTGTGCCTTTCAGACCTTCCCAGTGTGAGTCAGAATCTGTGGGCATTAAGTTGAGCTACAGCCACAAACATCACTGTAAATCACTAGTGAAAAATACAAGTGAAGCTTGGATAAAGTTAAAATAAAAAAGAAGCTTTGTTATTTGAACACCAGATATGAAAAGCTCTCAACATTATGCCGAGTAATTAAGTATAATAAGTATTGTATCACGATTTATATGTAAATGCAAGAGACTCATTTGACAACTTTTTAAATAAACATCAAAACTGCATGTTTGATGCAGATTGTGTTGTATAGGGTTTTATTCTATTTTGTGATTTAATTGTAATGGAAAGCATTTAGATGAGAGATCCAACCATGGGAAACGGAGCGTACGTCTGTGACAGCTGTGCCTGGGGCAGTACTCTGTGCCGAACATTGGTGCCCTGGGTCAACTATGACCGAATCTGCCACTGACTAGAGGGAAGGATAATACTCAATGTAATGTTTTTATAACAAAGTGTAAAGGCACATAAGTCAGAATGACTGATATTTAAAGGAATATTTCACCCAAAGATTTTAAGCTAAAATATTTTAGACTCACCCTCAGGCCATCCAAGATGTACATGAGTTTGTTTCTTCATCTGAACAGATTTGGAGAAATTTAGCATTACATCACTTGCTCACCAAAGGATCCTATGCAGTGAATGGGTGCCGTGAGAATGCGAGCTAATAAAAACATCACAATAATCCACAAGTAAAAATCCAATCCATCAATTATCCTTGTGAAGTGAAAAGTTGTGTGTTTGTAAGAAACAAATCCATCATTAAGGCATTTAACTTTACGTCATCACTTCTGGACAAAAATATGATTATTTAATCCATAATATTGTTTCCTACAGTGAAAAGACAAAAATACTTTTTCCTTTAGACAAGACAACTTTTTCACTGAATAAAGAAATATTGTGGATGGAAGAATCATTTTAGTTGAAAAAAAAAAGGTCTGATTTGTTTCTTACAAACAAGCAGCTTTTCACTTTACAAGGATAACGTCTTGGTTAAGTATGTAACCCTCATTCCCTGATGGAGAGAACAGATACATCATGTCAATGACTGATGAATTGGTCATCGACGTGAAGTCTAGAGTGACCGACTGAAAGGGAACTGATATACTGGAGTCTTAGTTCCGGATTATTGTGATGTTTTTATCAGCTGTTTGGACTCTCATTCTGATGGCACCCATTCACTGCAGAGGATCCATTGGGGAGCTAGTGATGTAATGCTAAATTTCTCCAAATCTGTTTTGATCAAGAAACAAACTTAGAGCCCATACACACAGATACGCGTTTAGCTGTATATGTAAAACATGTTGTATCGAATCGGCATTTCGTCCAGACTGATCTGGTGTTTTGGGAGCCTGAAACTACGGTGGCCGAGAGAGCTCAACGCGCTGCAGAAAACACATGCAAATAGAAAAAGCACCAGGAGCGTGCTCTGCTGGACAAACT